CTGTCTTTCAGAGAAGCCAGCTGAAGGGAAGCAGGTGGGAAGCAGGGCAGAGATGGCCTGTAGGCTGCTGCTGGTGGGTGTTTCCATCACCCATCCAGAGTCAAGGGCCTCAGTGTGGGGTGAAGATCAGGAGGCCTGGGGCTGCCCAGGCCAATGAGGGCAGCAGAAGGGAGGAGGGTGGAACCCCCACCGGGGTGGTGGGACCCTGGAGCCCTGGGCATAAGTTGAACACACAAGGAGTGGTGCAGAAAGTCTGTCCTGGTGTGATTATCTAGACTCCCCTCTTGTTTGCTGTGTAATCCCAGGGAAGTTGCTTACCATCTCAGAGCCTCTGATGCCTTATCTATAAAATGGGGGCAATCACATATCTGTTGCAGAGTTATGAGAATTAAATGAGCTAAAGCATCTAGCAGCAAGTTTCTGTAGTAGGAGACATGAAAAATATCTTCTTTCATCACAGGGACAGTGCATATGTAAAAGAAAGAAAATGGGGATGAACTGCATGTGTTTACACAAGCGACGCCAGGACTGAATCTCCAGTGTACCCAGGAATCAGTGCCGAAAGGCTATTTCCATCTTAGGGCCAGGTAGTGGTCCCCAGTTCAGGTGCCTCCCAGCACATGTGGCTCTCGTGGCTTTGCCATGGTCTGTGTGGACAGAGCAGCAGGCGCTGTGCGTTCACCTGTTGTCGTCTGCTCAGCCTCACTGCTCAGGCAGGGCTGTTGCCATGACAGCACGTTGGGAAGGCAGCTTCCTGTCGCCCCTCCTTGCAGACAGGCAAGGCTCTGACTTCCCCTGCACACTGCATGCCTCTTAGGAAGGGCACTCCTGACCACAGGGGGCAGTGATGCCCTGGTGCTGGTCACTCCTCAGACCAGCTGGGAGCACTTGGGCTGTTTTTAGGTGGGATGCCCTCAGGTGATCAGGGGCTTGCTGGGTGGAGGATTTTCCCCTCTCATTTACAGGGTCTGGAGATCTGCAGGCAAGGGGCTCTCTAGGGCTCCAGAGAGTTGTGAGGAACACATGCATTTCCCAGGGTCCCTTTTTGAAGAAGTCCTGGGATGTGGCACTGATCCTCATGGTCCTTCGTCCCCATGGAGTACCAGCCGTCATCTTTGTTTCAGGTTGGTGGTAGGAGGAGAGATGAAGAAGGGAGTTGGGTCTTCCTTTGAGGACACTTTCACTTTAGAGGTCACACATACTTTAACCTCTTGGCCAGGATTACCTCTTTCAGCTATACCTGGCCACAGGGGATGGGACAGTGGCCCTTTATTAAGTGCCCTCAGCTCCTGGAGAGTCTGGCATGGTGCTCTGTTAGTTTCCCAAGGCTGCTGTGACATTACCACAGACATGCTGGTTTATAATGACAGAGGCTCCAGGTCCAGCACCCAGGTGTCAGCAGGGCCATGCTCCCTCCAACAGCTCTAGACAGGCTCCTCCCTGTCTCTGCCAGCTTCTGCTGGCGACTGGCCATGCATGGTGCTCCTTGGAGTGTCCGTGCATCTCTCCAGTCGATCTTCTTGTGGCCTTCTCCCATGAGAGCCCCATCTGGTCCTGTCCTTATGCAGACACCAGTCACTGCACAGTCTTATCTTAATGTATATCTTCATTCCATCTGCAAATACCCTATTCCAAATGAAGCCATGTCCTGACTCTCTAGGTAGGCATGCTCACCTCACTATAGGTGCCAGGGAGGACAGTGAGAAGGATGTTGGGGTGGTGGCCTCCAGTCTTTGACCCCATGAAGGGGAGTTCTTCACAAGATAACTTTCAATGATGGCTCATTGGAAGCTGGCCAAACTGCGGTTTCCACTGAGATGCACGTCCTGGTAGGTCCAGCTGCCCAGAGTGACCGGATCCTGTTCTTGCAAGGAGAGGAGAAGGGAGGGTTGGAGAAGCCACCTGAATTTGAGTCATGGTCTGCTGACAGCTTGGGCCCGGGCACATTCACCTTTCTGGCCTGAGTTCTGTGTGTGCAGCGGGGTAAACGATGTCTGTTCCCAGGGTCTTGAAGGCTGTGCGGATTCCTCTCTGAAGTACAGTGAAGCCCTTCACTCACACTCACCTATGAGAGAGAAGTGGACGCAAGTTTGTCATTCTTTCCCATTCTCTGGCCCTTAGGGCTCTTTTGGTTCCAGAGGACAGAAATTCTACTTCAAACCGTCTTCATCCTTGAGAGAATCTTGCTTTCACCACTGTGAAGTTGTAGGATTGGCTTCAACTGTAGCTCCAGGGCATGAGTGCCCTCACCCCAGATGCAGGTATTTGGGGATCTGCTGTCTCATGCTGTGCCACCTTCAGGCCAGGCAGGGGCTCTTACGTTGTGCTGGGGAGAGATCACTGCTCTTAAGCTTAGTTCTTAGCTCTTAAGAACTTGCAGGAGGGTATAGAAATGTATTCTCCAGGACGTTGTCTCTGATTGGGTCAGGTATCCATCCCAAACCAATGACTGTCAGAGGCGGGCCATGTGGGTGGCCAGAGCCAATCATAGACTGCCCTGGGAACTTGGAGTGTTCCAGCCTCACCCCACCCATTTCCTAACCCACCCATGGGCTGAGACTAGGATTGTCAAAGAAGGGTGCAAGGACAAGGAGGAATGTCCAGCACGGTGAGAACGAGGGCTCAGGAGCCAATGGTCCAGCACTTGCACAGCCCCTGAGGGCAGGGGCAGCACTGTTGGGAGCGCACAGCCTGAGAGGCAGGTGTAGGGTCCAGGCATTGTGAGACTGCCTGCTGCCTGCGAGTGGCTTGGCTAGTCTCTGAAGCTCTCTCTTGGATTCCAGCAGGGGAAATACAACAGTCTAGAACATGTCAGCTGCAAAGTGTCTTCTGCATTGTCCATCTGTTCTCCAAGGCCATCTCCACTGGTTGAGAATGTTTCTTAGAAACCTTTTCCATCATGGTTGGGGTGCCTCTGCTGTCACCACCTGGATGACGGCAAGTTGGAGCTCTTCTAGGCTGGGAATTTGGGGTCCTGCAGATGCCCTGATTGCAGTGGTGCTGCATTTTGAGGAAAGTCAGCATGAGATGGTGGTGGGTTGCACACCTGGGCCCCAGGCAAAGCCATGTGCAGCTGGGACGTGGATACTGAGGGGGAGACTGGAGTCCTGCCTGGATAGCCTGTTAGCTGGGTCACCCCCACTGCCACTACTGTGAGGTTCCCCTCACTTTATTTTTCTTCTCTTGGCACTAACCACTCAGATCTACTACTGCATTTACTTATTTCTTATGTTTTCTCTTTCCTACTGCAGAATAGAAGCCCCAGGGTAGGGCAGCAGGTCTGTTTGCTCACTGAAACCTCCCATCACCCACAGAAAACACTTGGCTGGGTATTTGTTGAGTTAAGGGAAATACTTGTGAATGGTATATATCAGTAGACTCCTTCCACCTAGATTCTGATTGCTCCCGCCTTGGCATCACATCCATAGCATCTTTGGGGGTTGTCTTAGCAGGGAGGCAGTGTCCTCCCACTCAGGAATTGGATGTAGCCAAAGCAGGTGGGTGCTGATGACCAGGGTAGCAGTGGAGAAACTGCATCAACGCCGGCTGCTGAGCCCTGGAGAGATCTGCGCAGGGCAGGTGGAGAGCAGCCTGAAGTCTTCCAAAGAAAGGTCTCTGGTGTTGGCAGGCCTGCAGCTCGTGGCTGTATGACCTCCTAGCCTGGGACCTGGGGTACCACTTCTCTCCTGTTATGATCTCAAGTGTATTTTATCAGTTTTCAGTGGCTTGCTTTGTAAATTAGACTGTCTTATGTGATGTAGGCGCTGAGAAAGGTCAATGAGTCAATGTCAGGTCAGCATCGATGGCATGCTCATATTCTCATATGCTTGTGGAGTCCTTTCCATGGTTCACCCAGCAGTTTGACCTTTCCTGGGCATGTGCTTGACACTGTCCTCGCTGCGCTATGCGCGTTCTTTCAGAGATTTACCCATCTAAACAGAGCTGATTGCTAAATGCTGTGACAACAAGTAATCACCCAGCTCAGGCCATTGTGATTTTGGTCAATTAATGAAACTCCAATTGTCCCTTTTAATGCCTGTCTGGGTTTCCTGGGACCACTGAAACAAATCATCTTAAACCAGATGGCTTTTTACAACTTGTGTATCCTCTGACAGTTCTGGAGTCATAGAAGTCCAAGTCCTGGCAGGACCACACACCCTCAAAGGCCTGAGAGTGTGCTCCTGGAGGGCCAAGCAGGGAGGCCAAGCCACCAAGAGGTTCTGTGATATTGGGGCTCTGGGGCAAGTCAGGACTGGGTGTCCATTTAAGTGTCAGCTGCATATGGGAGGAGTTGATGACATGGGTGAGGACGTGGCTGTCCACAAGAGGGACACAGGGAGAAGAGGCCCATCATGCAGGATCTGTAGGCATCAGGGGCAGCCAGAGCAAGTCGTGTCTGTGAGGAGGCTCAAAACTGAGGAGCCCCTGTGGAAGAGGTGAGGGAAGGAGAAGTTCATGAGGCAGTAGAGGGCCACCTTGTAAGGCACTGCTCAAGTTGAGGCTAGGAGGACGAAACTCGTCCAGTGGGCAGAGGGCCTGGAGTGCCTTGGCCACCCTGGCTGGAGCTATTTTGGTGGTGGGGTGGGGGCTGAAGCGGCTGATGAGTGAGTGGGAGACCTGGGGCTGAGTGGAGCAGCGGCCGTACAGAGCAGCTCGCTGTAGAGATATATTGGGCGGGGTGTGCTGCTGGGCAGAGTTTACGTGTTCTATTAAGTGAAGTGGGGGGGGGGGGATTGGGCATAGCTGAGCTCCAGCAGCAAGTGCCAGGGTGACTGTATAGGTCCTTGGACTCAGAGATCTGTCCACTCTGTCCTCAGGGGAATAAAGGGGAGCTGGACTCAGGCCACGGACTTGGGCCACTATGGTCCTGAGAGTTCCCAGTTCAGTCAAGCCTGTCCACAGCTCTGGTTTGACCTCCCTAGGCCTCAGGCCCTGGCAAGGAGCAGGTTCCCTGGTCATGAGCCCCCTCCATACCTAGGTGCCCTCGCTTCCTTTTCCAGATGGATGAGATCAGAGGCAAAGACCGGGTGATTCTGGCCCTGGAGAAGGAGCTGGGTGTGCAAGCCGGCCAGGCCCAGAGGCTGCTTCTACAGAAGGAGGCTTTGGATGAGCAGCTGGTCCAGGTCAAAGAGGCTGAGCGCCATCACAGCAGTCCAAAGAGGGAGCTCCCGCCTGGCATTGGGGACATGGCGGAACTCATGGGGGGCCAGGTAAGGCGCAGCTCCCGCAATAAGCCTTTGCACTTCAGGGCTGACCAACACCACCCCTTCCTCCCTGCCCATCATCTTTTGGCTAGCCTGCCTTCTCCAGCCTTTCCCACCCTCCTGCGCTCCCACCTTCCTTCCATGCATCTTCTGCCCATCCGTGTACCCTTTCCTCCCCAATTGGCCTGTCCCATGTGCCAGGCCAGCGCTGGGCGCTGAGAAGGGCCAGGTAAAGACTGGCTGCTTTGGCCGAATGTGGTCTCAGGACTCGTTGCAGAGAAAAACATGAAGACTTCACACAGGGTCCACTGTGGGGCCAGGAAGGGACCCAGGAAGGCAGGGAGTGGCAAAGTCAGAGTCCTACGAGTCAGTGAAAGTGACAACTGCAAGGGCATTGAGGGCACTGGCCGGGCCCTGACGGAGGGGCCCCGAGCATGCGGCCTGTGGTCATTCACGCCCCCTGTGCTAGGAGCGCTGTGTTTCAGCACTGCAGCGGCTGGCGCTTCAGCCTCTGCCCAGGAGGACTGGGCAGGTGGCATGGGCAGGCCTTTGTGAGAGAGGCAGGGAGGCAGAGCTTTGAGAGGTCCCTGGGGCCACTGAGGGTGGAAGTCTCCATCCTCTGGACAGGACGTCTTCCCCAGGGGTGTGGCAGGGTGTGGGGCGTTACCAACCTGCTCCCCGCCCCACAGCTGTCCTAAGGACCTCTGCTGCTGTGTGCTCTGGGGAGCCCTCCGTCCATCGAGGCCTCCTCACACTACGCTTGTCTCTTCGCTTTTTTAGGATCAACATATGGATGAGCGAGACGTGAGGCGATTTCAACTAAAAATTGCTGAACTGAATTCCGTCATACGGAAGCTGGAGGACAGAAACGCCCTGTTGGCAGATGAGCGGAGTGAACTGGTAATCTGCTGCACAGGGACAGGGAGCGCCCCGCAAGCAAGGGCCCTGGCCGCGACACCTGCCTGAGACACGGGGTCAATGCAGAGCCCTTGGTTGTCTTTACATTCCTTTTCATTTTCTTTTTTTTTTGATTAAAAATTTAACACACATTGAAGAACTCTGTTAGTACCTGTTGTTTGGAAGGAACTTACCCCTAGAGCACAGTTGGAGAAGTTCGGTGAGGCAGGTAGAGGGGATGTTCATTGCAGTACTGTCTACAGTAGCCACCCAAACAGCCAGGCACAGTCACTAATACTGGAGCACTGGCCAGGGTGGCTTTGAAGCTTTTGTGCAATGACTTCTACACAGTCATCAGGACTGAGGAGGTAGACCACATTTAATTGACATGGAAATTTGTTTCTAATTAAATGATAAAAGCATTTCACAGAACAAAAATAATTTGTTACCATTCTGGTTACAGAAAGGCTTTTTTGGGAGGGAGGGCAGGTGATTTGATTATAGTTAGTTTTTATTTTTATCTTTTTACTTTCTTTTGCATCAAAGTTTATATGCTTCTATGTTTAAAAAATAATGAATATGGACTTCTGGTTAAAAAGCAAATCTCCAGTAATAACAGCAACTTCATAAATCTGTTTAGATTCACTGGATAAACTGCTGAACAAATTTTTATGTGGAGTATCAGTACATAAACTTTTTGACAAACACCTCCTAAATTTTATGTTTAATTTTGATGAAGGGAAGTGTGTCTATAGAATATTTGACAAAAACAGATGAAAAGTGTTAAGTATCACTCCAAGCCTTCAACAGGATCAAAATCAATTCATTTTCTTCTAGTATTTTTAAAGGCATATTTAATACAGCTTTAATCAAACTGTACATCTAATTTATTTCTACTTTTCACTTAAATATTCATGAACAGAAAAACTACTGAGGAGCTGTGCTGGTTGCCGAGTGGATTAGGAAATGCCCACAGGCCCCAGGCAGCTGGAGCACTGAGGTGTTTGAAGTGGAAATCTATCCTTTTCCAGCATTTGGCCTTGAGCCGGGTGCTCCTGCTAGGGGCTCTGACAGACCCTCTGAACAGACAGTCCCAGAGAGCTTCATGCTAACTCTTAAGATGGCAACTGCAGGCAGGGGTCTTGAGTCAGTCCCTCGACCTTGAGCCTTGGTTCTAGCACTTTCTTGTGACCATGTTGCTCTCCTGTCCATTGCAGGCTCTCATCCTTAGTGTGGGGTGGGCTGGCAGGCCCTAGGTCCCAAGGGCTCAAGGAAGGAGAGCGGGAAGGTCCCTGGTGTTTCAGGCTCCTGACGGGGACTTAGGGTGTGATCCTTATGGCATTTAACTTGTTCTAATTTTCACTGTGTGTTTAATTCTCACTTCAAGTCTGAGGCAGGTGCTGCCATCATTCCTATTTTATAGATGAGGAATTGAGGCTAAGAATTTGACTATGATCATGCAGCTAAAAATTAACATTTTATTCCTCCGGGATACTGCCCGGAGGAAGAAGTGTGGTGTTTCTAACCCTGCACAGCCCCCCCCCCCCCCGCCGCCCCATTCCTCCTTTCTGCCCCCCCCCACCACTCTGTCTCACTGGCCTGCCCTCCACACTGCAGTCAGAACCATGGATGGTTCTAGAAGATAAACCTGATTATAGACTCTCCTGCTTCAAAGTCACTAGGAACTGGGTGGAGAACAAATGGCCAAGAGGGGCCCCAGAGGTGTTCCCAGAGATCAAACAAGAGCCTGTACATCACAAGGATGATCTGCCCAGAGGTCCTGGGGAGCTCCTCCAGGGCTAGATGGCTGTGCTTATCTCCTGGCCCCAGCACTGGAACTGGCACGCTTGAGCCCAGGGTGTATCTGTTGGCTGAAGGACGCTGAACTGCCGGGGTAGCCAGGAGCACAGTAGGTAGGATTGAATCTCCTGTGTGTGATCTCTGACCTCTGGGGGTCAAGTCCTGGGGAAGGACCATGGAAGGGAGGTCACAACACAGCCACCAGCCAGTGGAAAGCCTGAGGCCCATCTGTGGGCCACCCTGTCAGGCTGTGGCCTCCTCCTCCTGCCTTACTCCAGTGGCTGAGGCCTGGGTGAGATGCTACATTTGGAGGCTCTTTCGGTGTTTGCACTGTATAGGTCCTTGTGGTGGCAGCTCTGAGTGGGCTGCTAAATCTCTGCTCACTTCTCTAGCAGGAGTTTGGCCACCCCCAAGCCTTCAAGCGGCCTGATCTCTATCTGTCCCCACCACAGCTGAAACGGTCCCGTGAGACCGAGGTACAGCTAAAGCCACTGGTGGAGAAGAACAAGCGGATGAACAAGAAGAACGAGGACCTGCTACAGAGTATCCAGAGGATGGAGGAGAAAATCAAGAATCTCACAAGGGAAAACGTGGAAATGGTAAGTCCCAGCCATGCGGGACCACCCTGGGATTCTGGTCTGGGTGGTCCAGCCCTAAACCTCACAGTCCACATTTCCAGGGCCACTCTTGCCTTGCTCCCAGGAAGCCTCATGAACAGGGTCAGTCCACACAGCCTTTTCCGTTCTCTCCATTTCTCTAGAATGTGCACTGCTGGGGGCATCTGTGCCTGGAGGGGCCAAACAGCTGTGTCCTTAGAGACATCTCAGTTTTCTCTGAGCCTCGGTTTCTTCATCCACAAAATGGGAAGGAAGAAGTCCGCATTGCAGGATGTGGACATCCACCCGTAGGATGCATGACAGTGCACAGAGGGCCCCTAGAAAGTGGGGCTTGTAGTGGAGCCCCATCTGTGGGAGCAGTCACAGGAATTACTCTTGATCCAGTGCTGACCTTCCCTCCCAGGAGGATGGCTGGTCTCTGTGGACAGGGCAGATTATGAGTTGCTCTAAGGTGTGTAAAACAGCATGAGCCATCACAGCTGAGCAGAACCTTCCAGCTTTCAAAGCTCTTTCAGACCACCCTCTGTGCCCCCCATCCCTGTGCCCTGCCTACCCCTTCTCCCACTCATGAGCATCATCAGCCGCATCACAGGCTTGGCTGGGCCTGTGACTGTCATCCCCCGTCCTCTCATCGGCCTTCTGTCTCCATGCCCTGGCCCACACCAGTGCTGTCCCTAACAACCACTACTGCATGGGTGATCCTGCAGTGCTCTCTCCCTTGGCCACAGAAAGAGAAGCTGTCGGCCCAAGCCTCCTTGAAGCGTCACACGTCCCTGAACGACCTCAGCCTAACCCGGGACGAACAGGAGATCGAGTTCCTGAGGCTCCAGGTGCTGGAGCAGCAGCACGTCATTGATGACCTCTCGCTGGTAAGCCGCCTCCACGTGAGTGGCACCACATGACACGCAGTGTCGGGGTGGGCAGTGGGTAATCAGGGCCAGGTAAGGCAGCATAGCTTTGGGGACCTGCTGTGTTCCCTGTGGTGTGCACATTCCTGCTGTATTCTGCCAGGAAACAGCCCTGGTCTCCATGAGGTGAGATGCTGCTACCTGGGAATGGTGTCATGGCTACTCTTGTGGTTTCCCTGGTTTGCTGTTGTTAAGAAGCAGTGTCAGTTGTAGCAGTGAGTCTTCTGGCCTTTACAGAGTGGGTATGATCCATCCCTGAGAAGCCTGGGGATTATTAACAATTTTTACATTTTTATTGTTTTAGCTTAGCTGTTGCAGTCTGAGTTTGAGCCAGCAAACCTGAACCTTGTGATCAGATGAGAATTTGAAGGGCTTGTTAAGGCCCTTCGTGTGTTTACGACTATTGGGGTGCAGATCTGTGGAAGGAGATGAGAATGGGCCTGCCTCAAGTAGGGGGGATGTTCTATCCAGAGAATTCTGCAGGGCCACTATTGCCCTGCAGTGAGCATATGCTGCCTGCCCAGGAGGCATGGTGGGTCCATTCACAGGACAGAAAGCCATCAGAATTCTAGGGAAGGCTTTGGCCAGTGTCACACTCTCTCTGTCCGTCCTTCTTTCTGCCTCTTTCAGTTCTTCCTTCCTTCATTCACCCACCTATCCAAATATCCATCCGTCTTTCCTTCATTACCCAAAAGAGTTGATGCAGCTTAGGATGAGAAAACACTCAGTGAGTGGGGATAAAGTCAAAAAAAGAAGAAGAAACCAAATCAAAACTAGAGAAAATAAGGATAATGCCTAAGGATCAGAAGTGTGGACCATAAAGCTGAAGCTAAGCACCAGATTTGTTCCGCTGGAGGGAGAAGGAAGATGTGATTAGGAGCGAATCCCTGGTTTTATGTGGGGCACAGTGCTGCTGCTGCTCCCGCCCCACGGGAACCATTCCTACTGACAGAGACCACCAGACACCCCAGTCTCTTGTTCTTTCTTACAGCAGTGCCATAGAGCAGGGTCTAGCCTGGGTAGCAATGAGGAAACAGAGGAGGGAAATAAAGCTGTCTTCAGGCCAGGAGGAGGCTCTAGGGGATTTGATCTCAGCTGTGTCCATGTTCAAAGCCACAGGTGTTCTCACCCTTGCTGCTGTCGCAGGTAGAACTTGCCGAGGCCAGGGAGCCCCTGTGCAGTGCACTGCTTCATGCTGTACAGCTGCAGACCCCAACGACGAAATCAGGCACGGTAGGACGGGGCTGGCGAACCCAGACATTTCCCAGATAAGGACCTGAGTGAACGGCTTGTCCCCGTAGCTTAGTTCCAAGAAACAGCTATGACTTGGGTGCTTAGATCCTGGAACATCCTGTCCCAAGGCAGACAGTAGGCATGGCATGGCAGTGTCCCTCCCAGCCCTGGAGAGCCGGTAGCATTGCTAGGTGTGACAATGTGAGGCCAGCTGGAACAGCAATGGTTGTGTTTCCTTCCAGGAGAGGGAACGGCTCCTGCGCTCCAAGAGGCATCGAGGGAAAAGCCTGAAGCCACCTAAGGTGAGCCTTGAGAATGTCACTGCCCTTTCACAGACCTGCAGTGCAGGCAGACCATGGAAAGGGAGGGTATCGGCCGTTTCTACAGGGGCCTGCAGCAAAGACACCGGCTCGTGTGTTGGGTGATGGGAAACCTGTTATCACCATTTTTCAAAGCAGCATAAATTATAGTTGTGTACTGTGACCCAGTTATGGTAATTTATGCATGGAAAACTTACTGATGCAATTCTGCATTTAGACTGCAGGGTATATTCACCCAAAATTGAAAGCATAAATACCTTTTGAAGGATTTAAAGGACTCTCTGGCTTGGTTTACACCACACTACTCCATTCTCAGAGACCAGAGATCAGGAGCTTTGTGGGGTTTGGAACAATAAAGAACGGTTCTATTTGCGAAGTGGTCTTGCCATTTCATAGTGATAGTGTCCAAATATCCAGTAAGAAGAGTGTTGAGTTGGGCTCCTGAGGCTCAGATGCTCAAAAGGCCCAGGGCCCAGGCTGGGGTGTGGCAGGGCAGACTGGAGTGAGTCCACATAATAATAACAAATAAAAAAGCATAGATTGCACTTAAACCTGTGAACCTGTTGTCACCAAGACATGGGCCTCCTTTTCCATTCTCTGAACCAGGGGCACTGCCGGCTTTGTCTTCTGTTAGGCCAACAGCTGTGTGGATGTGATAGTGAATGGCAAGAGTCTGCGGCCTTGGAGTCTGGGCCTAACTGGGCCAGAATACTGGTAGCTATAGAAGATGGGCCAGGTGGATAAGGCTATCCAGTCTTTGAAGAGAAGTGTTATGTGTTAGTATCCTGGGGCTGTCTTAACAAAGTGCCTCAAAATGGGTCTTTCAGAATGACAGAAATATATTGTCCCAGAGAACAGAAATCTTATTCAGGTGTTGGGAGGGCCACACTTCCTCCCTCTAAAGTCCACAGGAGTCCTTCCATTTGTTGCCTCTCCTCTTCTGGTGGTTTCCTGGCAGCCTTTGGCTTCCTTGGCTGGCAGCTATACCATCCTGACTCTGCTCTTGTCCCTGTGTGGTGGCTGTCTCCTGTGAGTCTCTGTCTTCACATGACAGGTTTTATGAGGATGCCAGTGGATTAAATCAACATGGTCTGGTGTTAATTTCATAATTACATCAACAGTGACCCTGTTTTCCTTCAGCAGTACCAGGGTTAGGACCTCAACATATCTTTTCTGGGGGGACACAATCCATAACCCCTTGCTTTATGTAAAATCTGAGCATTGTAAACTTTGGTGTAGAAGGCTACAGTACTGTAGACCACCTAAAATATCTGGCTCACACTGCCCCCTGGTGGCCAATAAAGTGTATGGGATGAGCGCTACAGGCAGAAGGTAGGAAGAGTTCACTGAAGGTGGGCTGTGGGTGCGGCTGGTGTTATACTTCCCATTTCGTAGTTACAGGAGACATGTAGACAGTAAATATGGGAACAAAGAGAAGCCATAGGTTGAGAAGGCTGAGGTTCAAATTCAGGTCTAGGACTACTGGGTCAAACATCCACCACGCAGCCAAGCTGGCCAAGGGGGAATCTCTGCACGCTGGCCTTAGATGCTCCGTAGTGGATAGTGCTTTAGGCAAAGCTTGTTATTTGTTAACTGGGAGGTGAACAGTGACATGCCCCATGTAGGCTGTGGGCATCCTCTGTGTTCCCCAAGCTGCTGCTATGGAACGGTCTTGCCTTCTTTTTTAAAATTTTTTGGTACCAGGGGTTGAACCCAAGGGCACTTAACCACTGAGCCATATTCCAGCCTTTTTTGTATTTTATTTAGAGACAGGGTCTCACTGAGTTGCTTAGGGCCTCACTAGGTTGCTGAGACTAGCTTTGAAATTGTAATCCTCCTGCCTCAGACTCCCGAGCCACTGGGATTACAGGCGTGCGCCACCATGCCTGGAGTTCTCTCGAATTTGAATTGACTTAACTATAAGCATTTATCCACATTACACAGTGCCATCATGGATGTGAACTTCTGTGGCTACATAATCCGCCAAGGAGACAAGCTGTGCGTTTGACTCCATGCAGCCATTGGGGCATGCCTGAGGCCAGGGCCTCGGGTTAGGGATAGCTGCAGTGGCTGTTTTGCCCGCACAGCCAGCCTCTGGGCCTGTTCTGTTGTATTGTCTGACTGCAGAACATTTCATTCAGGGACTATACAATTATTTAGTTACCCTTTCCCCTATTGTTGGACTTTCTGCTTCTTTAAATGTCGCCAAAGCAAAGTCCTTTTGTGCAGAAAGCTGTGACTGTAGTCTGGATTGTTTCCATGGATAGATTCTGGGTGGGTGGAATGTGGGTGTAATGGTGGGAAACATGATTTCGACTAGGGCATTGCACCCCCTGCTGCCCATGGTGCCCAGTGTATATTTCTGGAATATATAGACATTCTAAAATCTAAAAGCTCTGAAATTTGAAACAGTTTTGGTTCCAAGCATTTCAGATGAGGGATGATTAACCTAAACCAGAATGCCTGAATATAAAGGGTTTCTTTTTGCCCTTTTCCTGATTTCTGAATACACTGACAGGAAGAGAAATTTTACAGAGGGTCAGAAGCAAAGCATGCTTTGCTACCCATGTGCCCAGCATGCAGGGGCAGGGCTGCCTTTCTTGCCCTCCATGTCCTGTTCACTGCATGGCACAGAGCAGGTGACCCTAAATGGTTGTTAGCTGTGTAAGTACGTTGCCTCTCCTGGAAAAAGGCATCTGTCTTCTGGGTGCTGGGCTGTCCAGAGAAATGGGGACATGTGGTCATTTTAATGAAGAGTCTCATGTTCCCAGAAGGCCGAGTTTGGGAATCTGCATGGAAATTTTCCCAGGCTGGCTCAGGTCTCACCTGCTTCCTGGGCCCACCGCTGTCTGCTCTTCTTCTCAGGATTCAGTGCAGGCCATTTCCCCTGTGCTCCTGCTTACTCCAGGGTCGTAAGGGGGTGATGGAGTGGCCATCCAGATCTCTGCGGCCCTGAGCATGTTCAGTAGTCTCCCAGAGCTGCCTTCCTTCTCTCCTGCAGGCTTCAGGCACTCGGCAGCTTTGCCCTGTAAATGGCTCCCTTGCCCTCTGTCCTCCAGACCTCCAAGTACTCTCCCTCTTTTTCAGGGGTTTCACTTCAGAGCACTGTGGTGAATTCATTGAAAGGAGAGGAATTTTCTGGAAGGCTGGTAGTTCCATTCTTGCCCTCTGATGCTCTTTCAGAAGGAGTTTCATGAACCTCCCTGGACTCTGTAGTTAGCCCCTATAGGAGACCTCCTTCAGTTTCACGCCCGTGCCCTGGTTTGTGGGAGATGGGGCTAGAGGAGAGTCCTGGATGCCATCCCTCATCTTCCTAGGTGCCTTAGCCTCTCTGAGGGTCCTGACTCTGTCTAACTGGGCCTTGCCAGGTGTGGGAGTCCCCCAGGTCTGTCTAGGAACCTGCTAGTTAAGCGTGGCTCACATTAGTCCCCAGTCAGGGCTGCGGGAGGAGGGTCCTGAACAGCGTTGTCCTGGGTGTAAGTGGGGGTTGCTCTACTGGAGGCTGATAGAAGGTCCCCACCCAGGTGGTGAGCTGTACAGCAGGCACAGAGGCCACAGCTCAGTTGAGCTCCCAGCATCGGACAGCTGCTAAACACAAGTGCCGTGGTTCACAAGCCTTGGGTGAAAGCCGGGCTGGGGGTCTCAGATGCACTGGGAGAGGGAGGCCTGGAGCAGTGGGGCAGCTGCAGCCACGGGCAGTGCGGCATTGGTGAGGTGTGCACACCTTTAGAACCTGGGTACTGGTTCCTGAAAAACAGCCATGCCCCTGAGGTCCAGTGACACCTGAGGCCAGGCTGCTGCCTCATGGACAGGAGGATGAAGCAGGCTGTGGGCACCTGTTCCTGTGTAGGGCGCCTGGCGTTGGCCATCACGTGCATGTAGTCTCGCTCGCTGTCTATCCCCTTCATGGTGTTTGCGGTTGGCCGTATTCCTGTTGGCCCCTCCCTGCTCTGTCAGCAGCTGGTGGGCTCATGGCGGCTTGTCACACCTGTGTACCCAGCTACTTGCAGCTGCCAGCACAGCGTTGTGTTCTGAGAGGGGCAGAATGGTTACTCTCAGGTCACATCCTGTCTGTCTTCACTGTGACCCTCAGCTAGAAGGGATGAGGGCTTGTTCCCTGTGGATCAGCTGTGTCCCTGGTCACCTAGTCCCTATTCCACAACCACCATCAGATCTCAGCCCATGTATTTCTGAGCAAAGAGAAGAAGCTGGTGGCAGGACTTCCTGCCAAGCCACCAGGTGGGTGTCTGGGCTCCATCAGAAGCTTGGAGCCCCTCTGGGACTGCTCTGTGTCCTCCCTGCAGGGGAGACCTTTGGTAAAGCCCTAGGGGGCAAGGTTTGGGTCCTGGAGACAGGACATTAGGACACCTGTGGGGAGGAGGGGCTGTGTCCTGGGCCACCCCCAGCACTTAGCACCAGCACCCACACAGTCTGCACTGTTCCTATCCTCACAGAAGCTCGCAGGTTACTAAGCAACAAGAGAAGAGTGGAGCCAGCCTGGTGGAAGCAGAGCTCGGAAGCCTGGCCTGGCCACAGAGCTGCCAAGCGCACCTTGTCTGGAATAGCCAACGACCGCGTGTCCCTCAGACCCCGTCTGAATATTTTGGAAGATGGGAGGTTCTGCTGGGTCTAGGTCATTTGCTGAAATAGGGCGGGAAACCCAGTGCTGGGGAGAGCATGGTAGTGAGCCTCAGCTTCTGCAGGGAGCTGTGGCAGAGGCTGGGCTTGTAGGATTCTGGCCCTCTGCCTGGTGTCAGGAGGGACCCCAGGCCCTGTGAGGAGAAACTTGGAGCAAAGGCTCCAGATTACAGTCATGGCCCTCCAGGCCACTTACTGTTTCAGGGGCTTCTGCCGCCCTGGTTCAAGCTCTGTCCCACTTTTGCAACCACTGCGAGAGCTCCCTGGTGGCAGCCTGCTCCCAGCACCTCCCCTCCCCTCTAGAGCTGTGGGAACGAGGGGCAGGCGCCAGGCAGACCCTGCAG